ATTTTCAGTTAGACTGTGGATATCCTTAACCCTTGATATCTAGTTTTTTAATTGTCAACTTGATGGAATTTTACTAGTGAAAGGAATATGAATTTGATGCCAACCAAAAAGAAGCTCACTACACATACATGCAAAAAATGTGTAATGCAGGAGGGCAATCTTGGAAARTGAGCTCACTTTTCCCTTCAAAACTCTAAGAAAGGATAATCTAACAGTCCAAGTACTATCATGAAATTTTTAAGCCATTTATCATTCTCAACCACCTTGCTTTGAAGAGRCTCTTACTAAATCTAAACAGAATCTATGAGCAAAAAAACTCCAAAGCCAACCAAGCACCCTAAACATCACTTCAGCATATCTACAAAAAAGGCTTCTCTTCCATCTGAAAGAAGAATTACAGTTCAGCTTAGAACATGTTGGTATTTGTTGACAAATACACCAAAAATACTTAGTCTTGTCAGAACAGCTGCATCCACRACCAACATTTCACCAACTGTGTCCCTTGGGGTTCACATCACTTCACACCTCCATCAGCCTCATTACTTTGCTAAAATACTTGCACAATAAAGCTGGCCAACTCAAGACAAGGCTGTAAGCAGSTGTTCTTCAAAATTACCTATGTGAATGGAAAAAGATAAATATCCCAAACTGTTCACAAGCATCTTTCTTGCAGGGGTTATCACTGATATTAGCAGAGATCTGGTAATAACACTTTTTAACACATACTAGAACCTTTTGACTAAACAAGCTAGAAAGCACTTGAAAATGCACATCAACTGAAGTATGAGCATGTCATGCATCCCAAAGAATGACAGCAAGTAGCAAATASAGTAGTATTTCCTATTTATATAGGAGGGAAAAAACAACTTTATTTACAACTGTGCTGAACAGGTCATGGGACTACTGATTTGTTTCAGTCCCAATACATGATAGAATAGTAACCAAAGATATGTTTAGCAGGAAAAAGATATATTGCATCCTATTACTTCACTTTTTTCCCTGTCATCACCAGCTCTCCCAGATTCTGAATATCTCCTTTACCTTGCCTTTGTATGTGCTTCCTTCCATCAACTTACAATCATCTACACTGATCTTTATTCATTGTCCAAACAAACTGAACAATGAAGTACATAACTTCACACTCCTAGCATTTTGTTTCACAGTATCTACGAATGCAGGAAGACTAAACTATATTGACACATATTTCAAAGACAGGCATATAAAATCTCCAGAAATAGATTTTTAAGCAAAACTTTTGAGTTCAGAAAATGCAAATGCACAAAATGAATACTGTACACATATTCTTTAAGACTGTGACTGCAGTCACTTGAAATCAATATAAATGTGGGCTGATACTACAAGAGAAGGTTCCTACCCCACGTGTTTAGCTTACAAGCGGCTACCTGGATGCACAAAAACTACCCTTTTCTTGCTCCTCCACAGAAAGATATGGTAGCAGCACATATCAAAGTGATGGCAGAGCTAYGGACTAAAAATATTGCATGTTCATTACAGTATGGAGTACACTGGAAGTGAATTTATGATTGCAAAATGGGAGACATGCAAATTTGTTCATAGTTCCATTCCTGTGACAGAGCTTGCAGCTGTGTTAGCATGATACTGAAGATGTGAACAACTACTACAAAAACGTCCTCAGATCAACACTCAATCTCCATAATTTCCTCAGCATTTTTCCCAAACATGACCATCTTTTCCTCTGTACTTCACAATCTGAAAACTTCAAATTAGCAGCAATGACATCTAAGGAAATTAATTTTTTTTCACTTCACTAATCAACAGATCAGGACTTTGGTTGTCAGATTTAGGAATAAGGTACTACATTAGAGCATATTTCAGATTGACGATGATGTATGTCTTTGCAATCACATGGACTTAACACAACTATTAGAAGAAAACATTTACTTTCTACACTGGTCTATGAAATTTATGTAAGAACACTTTTACTTGTCATTAAAAACCATGCATTATAGGTTTTCAATCTGTCTCTTCCAAAAAAGGGAATCACGAAATGAAACTTTCAACATTTTTGGAGGCAAAAGGTGATTGGTACTTTCCACCAGGCYTCCTTCTCTACAATAATATTACAAGTCTTTACAGAACTACTGACACAGTATTTGTTTCCCTCTAAAAAAAGAAATCAAGACACCTGGCAATATCAGCAGTCAATATCTTCCACAGATGTGAGGCAAGGGCAACTTAAGAAAATATCATGCTTAGATAGGTCCTGACTGAATATGCAGTACATCTAAMCTACTGCACTGGTAGTTCACTTACGTCACTTTCAGTATTTTTTGCAATTATGAACACGAATTTAGTCTTCTTGTACTGAAGTACAAGGACTGCACACCCAATTACAACACTTCAACTGGAAGAACATAAGATTCAGCTGAGAAGGTAGTAACAGTCTGAAAATATTTAAACAGAAATACAGGTTCCTACTGGATCATCCCCTTTATTTTTCTAGACAAGAAATACCTACAATGAAAAATATTAAAATATGTTAACTGTGCTCTTGTCATTTGCAAGCAAAAATCTTTGTTGTCAAATCTTAGTCACGATTTTTTATTATCTAATTTATGTATAAAGTATTTTCTTCCCGTTAGATTTGTGGAAAAAAAAACCCCAGGTATTTTCTATCAATTCTGTGCATAAGTAAGTACACTTGTTGGCGTGAATTTGCATAGGCCTAAACCCATGAACTTTTATTTTAAAACTGATAAAGTGCTAAGAAAAGGCAAGTTTTTGCTTTGTAGGGAAGGAAGAAAACCCTTTTACAGGGTATAATCTCCAAGTCATGTAAATCCCAAACCCCATTTGAGCAGTGCAATCCTTTCCTACCTGTTGCTGAACATAAAAGTAAGGCAAGACAACCATGCCGCAATAGGAGACTGCTCTGAATGCTGACCTGTATTTGTCAACCACAACCAAAAAATGTTGGTTGTATGATCTTTTWTTCTCATGTTCTACACCTTTCTCTACTCRTCTAGCTCTAGATCCCTTCTATGCYTCATCCCAGCCTGTGACCTAAACCTCACCACATTAGAATATGGCCAAATGTTTTCCCTGGCACTGACTGCTTCCAAATGGGATTGCTCCTAAATTGCCACCACAAGGAGGAGTGAACTGGTAGTGGAGAAATCATGTTGCMACACAGTAAAATCCTCCAGTGCATTACATACTATTCACTCTAAATTCCCTGTTAATCCCCAGATTTTTTGAGATCTTATGGGGGAAAAACCCAAATCATCTCTTGATAACAGCTTGATGACTGGTAGCTAATAAAAAAAAAATAATGCTTGTTCCACAGAAGAGGACTGGAATAATGGGAAGACTTAATAAGAAATATAGTCCCAAAGGGTGCTCTCAGAGAACTACTGATGCTGCTATCATTTTAATGCTCCCCTTCAGATCTAGTTCATGTCCAGGAACCATTATTTCTGTAATATTTACAAATAATTTTTACAAACTGATAAATCAAGCTCTGTGAGTTTAGACAAACTAATGATGCATAAATCTTGTAAATTTCCAAATTATTACCATATTTTTATCATGATAGCATCTAAAAATTTGAGCCATGGTGGATCTCAATGCAATGGGAATAGTGAAACAAAACGACAAGATAAAAGAAAAAAACACAAAACCACACCAATTTGAACACACCCCTAGAAACATTTATTCTTGTTCAAACACCAATCTCTTCTGCAGGCAATGTATCAAAAAAAAAAAAAAAAAAGAAACCCCCAGAATATTCTCTCACAAAAGATACGCCTTAGAAAATAGATTACATATAAGATAATGGACTGACATTTCTCTTAAAGCAGGTCTGAGATAACTAAATGTAAGTAACTTAACCAGTCAAACATCAGGAAACCACTGACCAMGGTGACTTTATCGTTAGTAATAAATTTTCTAATTGTGGCTGAGCTGAAATGCAATGTTTAGCCCTAAACAGATATTCTGTCCACAGTTTCAGCAAACTGTTTCTTTTTCTCTTAAGTCTCTCTTTTCAAAGCTTCTTCAGGGCCTCAAATCTGGTCATGGCTACAAACAAAATGAGCCTAAAACTCAATATTCTTAAAAGCCTTTGGAACGCCTTAGGAAATCCCTAAAAGAAAAAGGCAGAGGAGTCTCCTGCCAGACACGGTAGCTCCTGCAGGCTCCACTTCCCTAGGAGAGGCCTGCAGAGGGGAGAACATGTGGCACGCAGACAGCCCCGTTCCTTCCCCGTCTAGGGGAGGAGGGAAGACTCATTCAAACTCCCTAGCAGCACCCGAGCCCGACCAGGGCGTTCGCTGCCCGCCCAGACCCGCGGCTCGCCAGACTGAGGAGAGGCACAGCCGGCCTGGCAAACCCGACCGACCCCCTGCGCCAAGTGCGCCAGGCCCCGTGAGCCGCTTCACCCACCCCTGCTGCTCCCACCTGCCTCGGGCCGCGCTCGCAGCTCCTCACACCCCTTCTCCCTCAGGGGCCGCCCTCACCCGGGATGCGCCGGGCGCCGCGGCCCGGCCACCCCCCGCACACGGGCCGCCCGGGCCTTACGAGGGGCGTGTGTGCCGAGGCAGCGCGGGCGGGCGCCTCAGGCCCGCTCCGAAGAGGCGGCCTGGAGGGGCCGGAGCTCCTACCCGCGCCGTGACCGAGGCTCAGGCCCCGCGGTGCTGCGACCTCCTTCTCCACCGTCCGCTTARCCCCCGGCGCGGCCCGGGCGACAGCCCTCCTTCGGTCGCGCCGGCGCCCGGCGATGGCCGGCGGCGTGGCCAGCACTCACCCGCTGGCGGCCCTTGTCACCCCGCGCTGCTCAGCGCCGCGCCGCCGCCATGTTGGAGCTGGTGCGGCACGGACTGCGTCAGTGGCGGACAGGGCGGGAGCGGCGACCCGGGGGCGGCGCGCCGGGGACGGGCGGGAGAGTGTGGCGGCGGAGGCAGCGGTGCCCCGGCCCGGGCAGGGTGCGAGGGGTCTCGGCCAGCGACGCAGCCCAGCCYGGCAGCGTGGGCCGCTCGCAAGGAGCCCGAACGGCTGGGGGAGGGGCGCCCGCCTCTTCGGGCTCGTCAGCGGCGCTCCGCCCCTCCCGCCGCCCCGCTCCCCGCCGGCCCCGCCGCCCCAGGCCTGAGCGGACGCGGCGCGGGAAGGAGCCGGTGTGGCTGCAGCGGCGGCAGGTACCCGGGTACACGACCCCTTTCTAGCCAAACGTGCTGGAGAATAGTGCTGGTCTTCCCCGCCGGCGCGACAGTGGCGGGCGCCTTAGCGACGAGCCCGCGAAATGGCCAAGCGTTGGTAAATGAACTGTCCTGCACGCTGCTGGAAGCGCTCAGGGTTCCTCCAGCAGTACGCCGCGCTAGGGCTTGTAAAGAATTAAAATGGGAATTTACGCCAACTGTGCCAAAAAAAAGTAACTGATAATAGTATCCTATATGTGTGTATTGCAATTCAAAATTATCTTAAAACTAAGGACATGAAAGTTCATGACAATGCATGACGTTGTGAGCAGCTTCAAAATTAACTGAGACTGGCACTGAAGTATGTACCTGCTTTGATGGGTTTTAATTCAAACCAGTCGGCATTTGGGTCAGTAACCATATTCGTAATGGGAAGTAGTGGAAATTACATGACTGGCTGTTGAGAAGTTTGTTAGAAGCAKAAAACCCAATGATCTCTTTAGTGTTTTCTGTAAAAAAAGATTTTAAGTTGTGAAACTGACACCTGTGAGTTCTGAAATCCTGAAGAAACTGGTGAGTGAAGAAACATCTGTTCAGTAAATCAACACTAGTTTCAGCACAGCATGCTTTGTTAAGAGTCTTACTTTCCTCCTCTATAAGCCCAATTAAAATTGAACATAATTTTATCTAGCATTTTAAATTTGGTTTAAGCATTGCTTTATCTTATCCAAGTTTATTTCATAAGTCAAAAGTGAAAAGTTCATCTTGTAAATGAAAAATCTGTATGACTTACAGAAGTCTCCTTCATATGAACATGCAATTGTTTTCCTCACATACCTTGGAATTGTAATGTGAGATGCACAAGGCCTGGCGTTCTTGAAAGAGGTACTTTATGTGCCACCCTTTGAGATCACCTGAGAGAGTTTGGYTCTCATTCTGTTATTTGCATGCCTGTGTAAACTGTAGCTGAGGTGCTCTGGATTTTGTTCGCTGGAGGATACAGAATCTGTTCCACTTACAAATTCTACAGTTACAAAAATTGTTACTAATTCAGTTAAAAAATATATGCTCTTTTTCTAAAATACCACAGAGCTGTAATAAATAACATAGGGTCTATTCTATTAGTTTCAGTTCCATATTTATAGGCATCCAATCTATTAGGAGGTGACAGACAAAAGGTAAAACCACGAACATTTGATAAGACAGCTGCAAAACAGCTGGTCAGAATTGGTCATGGTAATAGTTCTGGTTCTGGTTTTTGGATAGAATGCAGAGCAATCTGAGTTATCATTCTTTCTGAATGTCTTTGTTGCTATCACTGGTTATGAGAAAAGGTCCAGAAGGATGACCCAGAGCTATGCGTCTTCAACCTAAGCAACATACTTGTTGCAACGTATGTTAGATTTGTCTTCCTAAACTCATTAATTTAAAATTAATTGTTGTTGCAAAGCATAAAATAAAAATACTTTGTGAGACAAAATAACATTAATTTCAGTACAACAAAGTACTAACTCTTCACCCTTCCAAACTTAGTCCCTTTGTGCATTTCCTAGGCAGGGATGCCCTCCCCCCCAAGAATGAATTATAAAAACTTTGCTTTATCTAACATGCAATTATCAGTATGACCTTGGACCTTTTTAATTATTATTTTTACTTCCTTTGCAAAATCTTAACTGGCTGGACTTTCCCCTTTCTCCTTACACTTSCCGACATCTCAGCTCACGGGAAATGCTGTGCCTCGGGGCATGCGCACGGAGAGTGCCGGTGCAGAGGCACGTGGAGTGCTGGGGCTACAGCCGGGCGCGTTTGGGGCGAGTGGTCTCCGTCAGGGGCTCGAATGCCGGAAATCCTGTGCGAAGGTAAACTGAGAGCCTCTCGGGCTCTGTTCTGGGGGCGCAGGGAGGTCTCAGGAGTTGCGGAGTTGACATTGGTTCCTTTGCTTTCTTGTTTCACCCCGCCTGGTGGTGGAATTTGCCATGTGAAGAACCCTCGCTGAAGCCGGCGCTGTCAGCCGCTGCCGCCCCGCGTCCGGCCGGCGGCTGGGCCTTGTCCGCTCTCCTGGTGCTTGCTGCCCGCTCGGTGCCTGCTGCCCGCTCGGTGCCTGCCGCCCTCCTGGTGCTTGCCGCCCTCTTCGTGCTTGCCGCCCGCTCGGTGCCTGCCGCCCTCAGGCGCACAGGGAGCGCCCCTCAGCGGTGCCCGCGGCCCCGGAGGCGGGAATGGAGTCTGGCGGCGAGGGTGGGTCCCTCCTGCGCAGGCTCAGTCCCTTCSCACGCACTTTGTGGGGCGCTTCAGGGTCAGAATTGCCCGCGGTGACGGAGCAGGTGGCAGCGGGGCACTCTTCTCGGGTGCCACAGCAGGGCCGGCGGGGCAACACTGGTATGGGGACAGGGATGTTGGACTGCCCGCGGCAGTGTTCACGGGAACTGAGGCGAATCTGTCAGGGCACAAACACCCGGTGCTGCACAAGCAGCTCTCTTAACACTTAGTTACTTAAATCTCTACTAGTTCTTACACTTTTCTCCTTTTTGGGAGACTTCCTGTGTTTTGTAGTGCAGCCTTGAAAGTGCTTGTTTTGTTTCAATCGGTAGAAAATAATTTGAAAGATTTTGTTGTCCTTCTAGTGTGTATTTTGTCCTAAGTAGAACACCTTCGAAATAGTTCATTAAGTAGATTCAAATTTTCTGGTTTTACTCTATGTAAAATTATGTATTTGGATATTTGAAAACATCCAGTGTTTTCTATTGATGAACTTTTTAAAAGCTATTAGAATTAACTATGGTTTAAAATTGCATAAAAGTTTGTGGTAAATCACTTGCTTWGTGGAGTAGAGAAATATTTGGAAACTTCCTCCACCCTGTATTAGATACAGATCCCGGTTCCCCATCAGCAGGATAGGGGATGCAAAGTTCATTGCAGCATGAGAAGGGGAAAAGATGTATCACCGGGATTTGCAAGAAACTGCTTGAAGATTTTTGTATTTTCTTGAGGTATATTCTTTAGCCTGACTTCTTGCAGCTTAGCTTGCCACTACTGAGGGAAGTAAATTTTTTCTAAAGGCATCTCTGATATAGAACAAATAAAAGCAATAAAGGGACTACAAAACAAATCATTATCATTAAAGGTAGTTGATACATAATAGGGTAAAAATTTGTACCTTTTTTGTATGCTTTCATTTTGCATAGGAAAGAAAAGAATTCAAATTATAGCAGATCGTAAATTAAAATTACTTCATTTTAGCTTTCCTAGTATCTGCCCCAATGTCAGTGATAGCAGTGTAGTACAATACATTACGTGGCTTTTTATTCTCTGAAGAGGGTTGTGCAGACATCAAAAGAAATCCACCTATATCCAACTTTTTGGAATGATTTCAGTGCATTGCTGAGGCTGCACAAATAATGCATACAGTTGAAGAGCATTCAAGTTTGCTGAAGTTATTGATAATTTTAGTTTAGTTATGTAGAATACATAATTGTCAGCGCTGTGTATACAAATTGGTGTATATTCTAAGAAACCAAATTCATACTTAACAAATATTATTAGATAAGGTTGTAGCTTCCACTATAATTTGGGGATTAGGTTGTTTTTATTTAGTGAAATGGCGATTCCAGTGATGGCGTGTGACTGGTCAATAACCTGTAATACAAAGGGAATCAACCTTCTGGAGTAGAAGCCATCTCACTTCCCTTTACCACCAGTGGTTGTATTTTCTGGCAGTTTCTGGACCCCAGTTTGGGACTGTGGCCTGGTGTGAGCAAGCCTAAGTCATGCAGCACCAGCATGTTAAAAAGCTCCGCTTTTCCTTCTTAGTAGTAGCATGATAGCACAAGTGCCCTTCAAAGGCAGTATTCTAAATTTGAAAACCTACCAAGTGGGCTAACTTCATAGTACTTGTGAGCATGTCAGTGTTCACTGTTGSGAACTTTTTGTGAGAAGAGTCCAGGCTGTAGATTCTTCTCAAGTTTACCTTAGAACATGATAATGTAGAGATAGTGATTTTTAAGTAGTTGTGATGGAAATTGAGTGCTTTGATATTTTCTCATTACAGGTGCCTCAGAAGTGACTTCTTCTCAATACAGCGACCATACAGGATCAAATAAAAATGGTCATCTGTTTTTCAAATACTTGAGTTTGTTGTTTGTAACAGCATGGTTTATTGTGAAAAGTGAATGAAGAATCTTTCTGGACATTTWAAAAAATGCTTTGTGTGAGGCAGGTTTGCTTGTTTACATTGAGACGTTACCAAGCTCGGACTCTATGTAGTGATCTGCTTTTGAGCCAGATAAATAGCTGCACCCATGAGGATGAAGTATTCAGCCTTGTTGGAAGGAACAAGGCCAGACTTTCTGAAAAGCATGTGGGAATTGCATTGAACATGCTGTGGCAATTGCAAAAGAAGAGGCCATTTCTCTTAAGGACTAGTGACTATGTAAGAAGTCACTCCCAGTTTCTTGCCCTTTGCATTTTGGCAGAAAACAAGGTGGAACACATGGAAGATGAGGCCATAGTGGACACCTTATATAGTGTCCTGAGGTAAAGAGCATTAAATACATTTATTATTTGGCAATAAAAAGAGAAGGAATATTGACTACAGAGCAATCCTATAAGGAAACTGTAATGAGACTGCCCTGCCACAGTTTCTGTACTCTTGACTGTGTGGCACAGATGGATAATGTCCTGTGCCTCAGTTTTGGAGATGCTGGCAGAATAGATCTGTTTTGCAGTCCCAGTAAATATGTTTTATGATTATTATGAATTAAGATTATTCATGCACAAATATTTATAATATTTTTGAATGGAGGGAGTGATACAAAAGTAAAACAGTATGATAGATAATGAGAGGATGTAGAAAGGATGTATGTCTTATTTCTTTATAACTGTTGATGCAGACTGCAAAGTTTTATGTCTCTTTTGAAGGCTCAATGCYGAAGACCACATTTCTCTAGCAGAAGTGCTTGTTACAGAAGCATGGAAAAGATTAAAAAGGTAAGTATTGTACTGCGGTGCCTTGTGAAAAGTGTAAGTGGCAAGCATGATCGGCTTCATGTGAGGTTACACAAGAGTTCTCAAGGAGTATTTATGTTTAAAACATGAATTTTTAAATGTCAGTTGTATTTTTCAAGGTTATGAAGATTATACATACAGATTTTGGTACACAAATGCTTGAGAGATTCAGGTACTGAACAACAGGGTCTGACATTTGAGATTTTGAAATATATTGTTTGTGTAGATTTATATGTTTGAAGTAAATTGCAGGTTTTCATATTTACAATTTTATCTCAGTGCTTGCTCTCCAGCTCTTAAATGGTTATTAGAATCATGCTTATCTCAATTTTAGTAAAAACATTTTGTATTTAAGTGGCAACTTTTTCCCTTTGTGCATTTTGGTGTTGCATTTTGTTGTCTTCTTTTTTTGATACTGTAATTTTTATTCTTTAATCTCTGAGTAATGGCAGAACATAGTGTCAGTTTTGGCACCAGCTTCACAGTATTGCTTCTTCTTAATGTGGGCAATGTAAATAAATACAGTGTAGCTTGAAAACAAAATTATATTCAAGTAATAAATTGCTCATATTGACATTATGACATATGTGAAATATAATCTATTTCATGTCATTGCTTGAGAATATAATCTTTATGGATTTCTTAGGCTGATCTGGTTAAGTGAAGGACAACTAATTCTTGTATAACTCCATATACACAACTAATTCTTGTAGAATTCCATATACACAACATGCTTTAATATTAAACACCTAGGTGTTTTGCTTAGATACTTTGTTTTCTTGTTTTGTACTTTAGCTATAAGCTTGATTTCTATATAATTGTTAAAATAGATTTTTGTCTTATTAACTAGAAATAAAAGGTATATATCCTGTCTGTCTTTAATGTCTTGACAGGCTTAGTTTGCCAGCTCTGTCTAAATTTGCACTGTGCTTATGCAAGCAACATAGGCACTTCAGTCCTGTAATTGGCCAAGTGGCTCATATTGTGGACATGAAACTGGATTCTATACAGGATATAAGGTAAGTGTCAGAATGAAGCTAAGAAGCAGCAGAAGCATTATGTTGCAGTTGCTGGTCTGTCTTTGCTGAACACCTTCCCTTCTCTCAACTGGAGGTTGCGTTTCTTCAGTTTGGGGTTTATGGGAAAAAAGTGTTTCGTATTTGTGCRTTAATTGACAAGTGAATGCATTTTCCCAATGACTTTACAAAGAATTTCCTTATAACCAATCTAAACAATTAAAACTACTGCTTGGTTATTTATATTGCTTATAAAGATTTCATAATTTGCACTGTTCYACTTACCGAACAGCAGATATTTAGAATCAGATTTATCCTGATTCCAAACATGGACTTTTTTGATAATTTAGAGGCTATTGACTCACCAAAAGATGCTTTTCTCCCTTTTTTTCTCCCTTGACATTGTTAGTCTCTACTACGACATGGATTTGTTACCAGCAATAAGGGCATTTAAAGCAGTGTTTGGTTTATTTCTCTTCAGAGMTTTTCTTTTCTGGTCAAGTTGAATTAATAAATTCTCTTGCTGGCATGTCTAGCACATTACCCTCATACTTAAATTACTTGAAACATAGCCCTAGTGAAAGGAGGCCATCTCCTTTTTTCTTGCTTCTGTTCCCCTGGGGCTTTTACATCAAGGGTTCCTCTGCTTTGTATAGCACTAGCAGTCCCAACCCTTATTTTTGTAGATGTGAGGAGCCTGCTTATGAAACTCCTTGAATGGAACTGCATTTCTTTACTGAAATCACCTTCCCTGTGGTCATAAGTTTTATTCCCTTACAAAGGGATTMTTTCTTTAAGAGTGACAATGACTCTTCTCCCCGTTCTGTCACTTGGGAATTGTTTGGGTTTCTTTAGTGTCTGTTGAACAGAAAAGATCTTTTTGCAAATATGAATCAGGCAAATCAGGGCCTGGCTTTAGGCAAATGCTTTTATCATGCACAACTTTGTAAGGGATGGCTAAAAAATCCAAGTAATTTTCWGAAGTTCACTGAAAGCGGAATTTTTACTTTAGTAGGATAAATAGTTTTTGCTCATTCATTTTTTCTGCATTGGATTTAAAATTCTTTTTGCACAGAAGCCAACAACACCTCAACTACCCTTCCTTTCTTCCTTCCTTTCTTTGTGCACTTCATTTAAGAAATTTATTACTATGTTCAATGTGTAAATGTAAAATCTTTTCAATTTGTTAGGGTCTTGTCAGTTTTGATGATCAGCATATCTGATGTTATCACAGAGAGTTTTCGAGATCGATTACTACACAAGGCTGAGCAGCTCCTAGAAGAAAAGGATGAAGTCCACTTCAACTATGCTAGAAGAATAGTACAGTTTCTCCAGAATGTTAAGCTGAGATATCATCCRTTGCTAGAAAAATGCAACAGGATTTTCCTTGAAAGTGCCTCCCATATTGATGTCCACAGTATGAGTCATATTTTYGGACTGTATGAGCAGCTGGGTTTTGACAATGCTGAGTTCCGCTTGATGGCTAAACAACTGCTGTCTGAATCTATGGATGATTACTATGATCCTGAAACTTTTGTAAAATTATTTTTTGCTCTTGGGCCTATGGCAGGATCCAAGATTAGAGAAAGGTAAGTTTRTTAATGAGTTTGTCTTATTTATGATAGACATATTCTTGCACAGAAATTAAAAATGTGCTGGTTTTTGGAGGAATCGCTGAGCCCATCTGTGAGCTGAGCCTTAGGTTTCCTGGTTGTAACGTTGTAGCCATGATTTCATCGTGGAAGCACTGTCAAAGCACTTTGTTTTTCTGAAAAGTTAAATCAGATCCATCAATCAAGGGGTGTGTGAATGCTGTGTATAGCTCTGTCTCAGACTACAGCCCTCCTTTCACAGTGGATAGTGGTGAAAACCTTTCTGTCTTCCTCCTGAGAGGAAATATGTGTTGCTATTTCCTTTTTAAGACTGTCAGTAGCTGAAAAAGCCTGAGTCTTGTCCTGTGCCAGATTGCTGACATCCTGTTCTTTATGAAACCAGCAGCAGGGAACACTTCAGCATTTATTCAGAGCATAGTATTGTGTGATGTATTTTTTTTTMTCTGCATTATTTTCTTGTGCTACAAAATCTTATTTGGAGTGGTATTACTCATGGGTCTCTCAAARCCTGTAGTTTTAGGCACATTTTTCTGTAATAGTTACAGTGAGTCATATTTTCATACTTCTCTTCATGAACATCTGCCTATATTCAGAGATTTGGATATGCTGCKAGCCTGTGTTGGTTTTGCCATAGCTGATTTAGTTCCAAAAGCTTTTCCTAGATTTTTTTAAGTTTATTTTGTTTATGATAAACACTGGCTTTAATTACTGCAGAACCAGTTCTGTTCATGTTTGATTCTCTTACTTGTAGCTTGTTGTTTAGTGTCTTACAGTACCTTCCTTATTTCTTGTCTACTTTTAGAATTGTTGGACTCACTGGTTTCTTACATAAGAACAGTATGCACTGATCCRACACACTCACACCCCTTTATCTGTGCTATATAGACCAACTGCTTAGAAGAAAAGTCCACAGAACAAAACTCTATAGTTTGGGAGTATTCTGCTTCCGAAAGTAGTCTTAGGTTCATTTCCTCATAGATAAACAAAATGGCAGATAGATAAACAAAATCTTCGCCAGAGATTTTCAACTGTTTTTCATTGGAAAATGTGTCTTTTCCTCTTTAGGTTGCTAGTAACTGCAGCACACATGGCAGAGGAATTTAGCAGTCACCAAGTACTGGTGATACTGAAGACGATGCAGAAAATGAAATGCAGAAATTCTCATCTACTCAAAAAGTAATTTTTTTTATACTACTAAGAAGTTGTATTCTCTAGGTAAACTTCCATTAGCATGGAATACTGTGTAGTATCCAGTAAGTTAGGAGTGGCGGGTATATCACTTGCAACAAATGCTTATACACTGTAAAGAAATGGCTGTTACAGATTTTAGAATATTGCAGCTTGATCCAGAAATAATTGAGGCAGTTTAGGAATTTTGAAGAAAAGCATTTCACCCTTGCCAAATTACTGTCACATGGTATCTGTCTAATTTACAAATATATGATCCTATTGCAGTAAACTTAAACCTCTAACAATTACCATAAACTCATGAGAATGCAGTAATTTGCAAAGAATGCGTTCTGTCTTGGAGATCCTGTTACCTTTGTGAATTGTTTGTTCAAACGTCATTGTGTCATATTTTGGACTGTTAAAGCTTGTGTCTTTAAGAACCTGGGCCACATTTTCTGCAGTTTTGAACTGAACACTGTTTATAGGGAGAGGTAGTGTCTGTCATACAGTGAAGGGAAAAGAATTGATGTTTTGGTCACAGACCATGTAGCATTAGATACATCAGAGATGCAGCAAAGTTACGTGCAGGTTGTGAGCAATTATTGGATTGAAGGTAGTGAAATAAACTAAAGAGATCCTTGAAAGAAAAAGGATGTACTTGTGGAACAAAGGGATACTGGAAGGGAAGACCAGGTGAATTAATGCCTTTTCTTCTTGAGTCTTACAGTCCAAAGAAGRTCTTAAGGTATTGTTTTTCCCTACAAATCTATCCCCTTCTGCAGCTTTAGACCAACATAGCTGTAGCAACAGCACCAGCTTCAGCACCACCATACTCACTGAAGCTGTGATGCTGTTCTAGTTTACTGGGTWCTTGGTTCACTCTAAATTTAACTGATTGTGAAATCTGCAACAAAAATTACTGGTGTGAAGTAGCTGATTTGTTGTCATGAGGGCTTTAATTTTGCCATTGCATAAGTGGAGAGAAGCTRCTCTATCTTAAGTGGAATAGTGTCAAAATATGTGTGGAGAGGAGTGCAGGTGTGTGAAGCCCTCCACATAGGTACTGTGCACCCCCTTTTCATGCAGGACGTTAAGGTTTGCAGTATCTTTTATATGAACTTAATATTGTATAATCTTTCTTTCTTTGCAATCAGAATGGCTTCTGTTCTGCACAAACACTTGGATAGCTATCAAGTATTACAGTTGGTAAAGTTAACGCAGTACTTGGTGGCGTTACATTGCCAGGATCTGGAGCTGTTTGCCAAACTGAAAATGTTACTATTAGGGTAAGTGTGTATTCTTGGAAACTTAGCTATTCAAGTTTTAAAAGTACTCAAAGATTTTAAATAGCAAGCTAAGATGTTATTGTTTTGTTTCCATAAAATATGAAGAAGTAACAAACTGTTGCAAGTATTTGATGCAATTAAACATGTAAATCAGAGGATAGAAAGTAGACATTGCCTTTACTATAAACACAACCGTATCTGCTAATAGAGATGATATAATTAAATTTTTTTTTTGCTCCTTTGTCCTTTGACTGCTGTAATAGTCCTTTGACATGGAAATGACAACAAATTTTGATTGGTACTTGATAAGGATGGGTAGGTATTAATATTGTCTTTGRTGTTTGACAGAAGAAGTAATGAAAAAGACACAGTAAGACAAGTGTGCCACAGAGGTACTCTTTTGATTGAAGAACTGTCCAGTTAGTTCTTAGTCTTGTACAGTTGCAACAGAAAGTTGCCATAGAAGAGATCTTGTTTCCATTGCTCAGCCTCTGTAGGAATTTAGTGCCTTGGCTGTATGATTTTTTTTGTGGATGATGTCTTCATGTTTCTCTGGCATCTCAAAACCTTGCGCTTTCTAGGACAGAAATCACAGAAATTAACCAGGCTCATAAACCCACAGATACTCTTGACAAATGTGGACCTTCTGGCCTTACTAAGAACTGTGTTTATCAGTAACAGTTGTAATCTCACCAGCTGATTGAGCTGCTCACTGTCTTCCCTTTTGTCAGTTTTGAATAAATTAGAAGGAAGAAGTTACTCTCACTGAAAAAAAGATGTGTGATTTCTGCTAAATCATTAATACTCTGCTTATTTTATATTTGATGTACAGCTTTTGACTTCCAAATTGGAATTTTCAAGCATGTAATTTGTTTAAATACCTGAACTTTGTCACTACTGATGGACTTTTTATTTCTATCTCTCTTCCAGTTACTTAAAATTTAGTGTGATACCTGCCAATACTGCAGCCATAATTCGTGTTCTGGCCATGCTTCCTTCTTTTCAAGTGGAGGAAATGATTATAAACAAAGCAGCAGCAATTCTGCCTCAATGCAGGCTCCAGCATTTGAATTACATTGCTACAGCTCTTGTCAAATGGAATCATCATGGCCAGTTACACTGGCAAAACAGTTCTGAGCTATGTGCCAAACTTCTGCAAAAACTCAATGATTGTGGATTTCAGAGGCTTCAGAAAGCCAACGACTTAAATCTTCTGTTGGAAGAACTTACACATGTGAATGGGGAGTGGTTTGAAGAAGTCCTGAGTGAGGAAACTATGGTCATGTGTCAACGCTTGATAGATCAAATAACGTGGGCAAATGTATTACCCTTGTCTATTTTTCTCATAAAATCAGACCACCGTTGTCCTACATTATTTGACAGAATAGCTTCTGTGACTGTTGAAAATATAGACAAGGTATTAAAGGTTTTCTTTCTATCTACTGTGAGTTATTCAGTAAGGAAGGACAGTTTTGTAGCTGTGTTTCAAAGCACAATCCACACAGTGTTTTTAAGAGTTTTCTTCAGAATACCTGATTCAGAGATGATCTCTTTTTGTGCTCACTTAAAGCTGTTTTGCTTCTATGTATATAATTTTGCGTTTCTTATTAATATTCATTTCTTTTTTATTGTTCACTGAGTGTTAGATCAGCCATAATCCTTTGCATTCAACTTTACATTTGATGACCTTAATTTTTTTAAAGTTCTTTATACCCTAAAACATGACATGGTGAATATTTTAGCATTACTCATTGCTGTGAGAATTCCCCCAATAGCCTGTCTGTTTGGTCTAAATTGCCCTTTTTTTCTTTCTATCTTTTTTCTCATTTTCAATCTGGTGTTCATATAAATCTTCTATTTTATTCTGTTGCAGTTTAGTTTCTTTAAGAACATTTTATGCAAAACCTTAGAAGATTCTCTAAGTGTATAGAAATACTTGGATCACCTACATGAAATAGATTTTAAGTTTTAGTTGTGGCTGCAATTTTACTATTACTGCATTTTATTTTGTATTATTTTCACCAGGAAAAGTTCACCTAGGAAAAAGTTAGAAAACAGCTCTAGTCTTAAACCTTCCAATTCTGAATTAATTATAAAACTTTTCTTTATTATAAAGTAATATTAGGATATTTTGCAGTGACTTGATTTAGGATGTCTTTTTTTTTCAGATCCACCCCACTGAAATCTATTTTATTCTCCTCCTTTTCTCTGCTTTGAATTATGACCCTCCTGACAATGAAGACTTCTTTAACAGTTGTATCCAACATCTTACTTGTAACTTGAGTAAGTGCAATAGACAAAGATTTTTACTGAATGAAAATGGGTATAGAATGGCACTTTGGTTAAGCAAATTATATGTAAGTATGTTACTATTAACATTCTGCCTGCTGTGGTTGACAATATTCAAGCATTGACAATATTCAATTTTGGGTATTGTTTCACCCGTTAAAAATGACGGGGATGTTGATAAGGGACTAGCAAAGGATTTTTGGCATAGTAAAATACAAGTGAAGATTCTAATTAATTCACTGTGCAGTTATTGGATAGAATTGTTTTGAGGTTCCCCAAGGAATCATCATTTGGGAAAAGGATACATTTTGTGATTCATCTCAAAGAAGTAGTTAAAATTGTAGAGGAAGTGTGTACAGATTTATGTACTGCATTAAGAGAGAAAATCAGACGTTTTGAAAGCCGAGGGAAAGGGCATTGCAAATCCTGCCGATTTTGTTGTGTGTTAATATTGATTTCTCTCTGGTTTTTCAAGATCATCTGGAAACTTACCACTTGGTGTTGCTTGGTCATGTTTTGGCAATGGCTGGGTATTTTCCTCCAGTTCTAATAACAAAGATATTTAATGTTTGTTTCCTAAGCAAACTGGATGCTCAACTTAAAGGTAGGTATCTAGCTCTCTGATTAATTTGATTGTGTAGCATTTGATGTAAAATGCAATTGTGGACCTGCATATGACTTGAGATGTAGAATTGCTCTTTAAATTCTGTTTCCAGGAAAGACATCCTCTATATAACATGGTCATAATTTGAGTGCTAAAAGTGAAGGAATGAACAAAAATCTATCCTTTGTTTTAAAAGTACTGACCTGTCTTGCAGATGAGAGAAAGTAATGTAAAACAAATTTTATAGTTAACTTACTGCCTTCAGTTTTTAATAACTTTTCAATTTTATTGGAAATAAAATTAACTGTCTGTGGTGTTTGTTACTAGAAGTGGTCACAAAACTGAAGAAATAATGTAGGATTCTTGTCTGCAAGAAATGTATGCTACCTGTCTCTTCTCTCTAAGTAAGAGACTGAGTGACTGTTTCATTCCTCTCTACCTGTTACATTGTTATCAATGTACTCTTGGATTTTGCCCTCACCTACTTCATTAAATTTACATGATAGAAGCAATTTCTGTCTTCTGTCTTGCTGTTGTTCTTAATATTGAGCAGAGCTGGTTTTCTTCATTTATTTTCTCAGGAATTTTGAGAATCTTTCTAAAATTCTGCAGCATGAATTCTATAAATGCCATAGTATATAGATATTTGCATTTCTAGTCAAGAATTTCAAGGTTAACATTTAGTTAGTTTGTTGGATTTTTCACATTTCACTTCACATATTTCTATGTTTTTTTTTACAATCAGTCCTGCCTGATAAGGTGAAGCAGAGGGTCCACTCAAGCCTCATGAAATTGAACAGAGCAGTCTGTCTGGAATGCCCAGAGTTTCACATCCCTTGGTTTCATGGGCCATATTGTCAACGTGTCTTTCAGAACAGTAAGTAATTTAGGAGAGGGAGACCTGCTCTTGTAACTAATAATAGTCTATTTTTTACCAGTATACTAGATGTTCCTTCTAAAACTGTCACACTGATAACTAGCACACAACAGAAAATCAGGAAGGCACACCCCACTCTGCTGAGCATGTATTCTTGAAAAGTGCAAATGCTTAGTAGTGCAACTGGGAGCAAAGCAGTTTTCCTTGTGAGAATTAATGTAACAGAGATGGGATATTTCTTCGTAAGAATTAAAATTTAAATACATAGAGGCAGTGTATATGGCATGAAGGATGGAAAGGCAGGAAGAGGATCATTCAGTACTAGTGGAGATGGGCCATTTTGCTCTCTGCTTCATTTCCAAGACTGAAAATTTGACTTAAATTTTTCAAGGTAAACATTTTTACTGCCTGCTTTTGATCCCGCCTTCTTCATCAAAGAATCAAGATCCATCAGGGAAGAGATAGAGAAGTAGGCTAGTGATCAAGTGTATTAGCTGAGATCTTTCCGAATAGTGATCAATTGGGAAAATCCATCTTATGCTAACACATCCCCTCCACTAATTCTCRTGGGGAGATCTGCTATGTTACACATAGAACTCAGCTATTTGTCTCTGAGACTGAAGATGTTTAATGGAGCAAGGTGTTAGTCTACAGTGGACAGAGAAGTGGCAGATAGTGTGGTGTGTCTGTAATAAAGACAAGATGAGTAATTATGTGTCTAAACATGATTAAAAGCAAACAAAATCCAACAGCTGAAACCTAAAACTTAAGTTTCTCTAGTCTGTGAATGGAAAAACCCTGAGACCCAAAGTCTGAATTTGAAATTTGTGCTTAATAACATGCACCTGCCAATTTCTATCTAAAATACTATCACTTTGTCTCTGAATTATGATGGAATAACACTCGGGATCTGTGGAAAAGATTTATTTCAGCAGCCTAGCTGTCAAAAAATGCGATRTCTCAAGGCATTATTTTCAGAATTCTGTCTGTGAAAGTTTTGATAGATTAATATTTATTTTGTCTTTGTAGGCACGAGCCGAAAAAATCCACTGCGACAGCATATTCACAGAATCCTGACAGAGATCTTAGGAGGGAGCCATTACTCAAGAATATCTGTTCTCACACCATACTACTATGAAATAGGTGAGAAGGTTTAAAAGGCTTAAAACTCTAAAATTGGTTATGGAGCCTTCTCTCATCACAGTTGTCACCAGGATTAGGAAGCTCCTGGTCATATGGCCACAAGATATTRCAAAGAAGAAATTGTTGTATAAAATACAATTTCCAAAAAGTTCTGCATAATATAAATAACACTGTGTATCTCTAATTATGGCTATGACTTAGTTTTTCTAGAAATAAACATTGTACAGATGAAATTGTTTCACCTGGTCAGTAAACAGGTTTGTTGTGTTTTCTGGCAGATTTTGAGTGTGTCCTGGATGTAAATAAAAAGCCTCTGTCCTATATGGCTCAGAATATCCCTTTGGATGGTGTGGGGCAAATACACTTGAGACATGACATCAAGGATGAAGGGACAAAGGYTCTGCCACCAGGAACTCAAAAGTTAGTAAATGCTGTTTTTGAATTCAAGTATCTCTAGATAAATAGGAGGAAAATGATTTGTCTAGATTCAGGGAGTTAATTTTTGCTTTCTGAGAATTGTCAGGTTTATCTAGTCTTGCTACAACTATCAGTACTGAACTAGAAATATCACTTCCTGCTATTCAGGTAGGACCTGAAAGTAAATGCACTTTTTTACTGTTTGCAGAATTGCTTTGGAGTTTCTTGATTCAAAAGCTTTTAGCAAAGACTATTCACGTYATCTGAAAGGAGAACCCGCAGTGAAAAAGCGACATCTGGAAATGCTGGGGTACCGGGTAGTTCAGGTGAGCAGTCAGCAATAGTTTGTGTTCTTTCTGCATTGTGTCAGCAGAAATTATCCATTTTCTTTGCAACAGATTTAGAGATGGTTTTAYTGTTAAAATCACCTACTGGGAGAGAGCAATTTTTGTATTTAGGGGGGAAGTTCCCAGCTGTTCTCAAAATGGTGTTAGGACTTCACAGAACTTACTCTTTCTCTGAAAGAGCATGAAGCAAAACTGAAGTCAAAAGGTCCCAGTCTTGCCTTACTTGTAGGCAAACTAGCAATCTCAGTGTAGCCTGAGTAAAGGAGAAAAAGTGAATTATTTAAGTTTCATTTCAATTCACTGAAGATTTCTATGATAGAGAAAGATTGAACATACCTTTGTTGAGTGGTAAGACAGTTTTGGCAGCTTCCAGATGGGATATGGATGCTGTTTGCTGCAGTGATAGTGCTGTGACATGGAATCTAGAGGCCAGAGATAATTCATCACCAGTATTGAAACATTTGGGTAATGGAGACTGATGAATGCAGAGGATCCTGTATATTTAATTACAATTACTCACCCTAATTTTAGCTGGAATCCTTCTTTAAGTCAAATTTTGTTTACTGGGGTTTTTTTCCTAAACAGAATAATAATCTTTTTTCATGTTATACTACTGATACACCRTTCCAGTCTGATACATTAACATTGCAAACTACAGTGATCTGGGATTTTTCTCTCAATTGGGTTTTAAAGATGGGATGGTGTAATGGAGTTGTCACAGCCTGTATTGCATGGGCATCTGTTTTATATCTCTGCAACTGTGCTGCTTTTTGGAAGCAAGCTGACTGTACTTATATAAAGGAGAATCTTACAGTAAGAAATGGATCTTCTCAGTATTAGAGTAAGCCTGGCTTTTGGAAGGACATAGGTGGTAAATATCTTCAACTGAAGAACAACAGATATWAGAGAGCCTTTTCTTTGCTCTTAGATGGTATATGGCTTACACCAATGTTAACAGTCAGTTTGTACCATTTTTTYCTACAGATTTCTCACTTTGAATGGAATTCTATGGTTCTGTCAACACAAGATGAACAGCTGGAATACCTGAGACAGCAGCTCTATGGAATACAGTGAAGTCAGACATGCAGTCTAGAGTAGTTTTATAAAAACAGTTTACGTACCATCAAATGCCTCGTAATCCTGGAATACTTAAGTTTCAAAAATCTCTTTATCTGTGTCACCTGGACCAAAGCTTGCCAAGGTCATCAGATGTAAAAAGATTTAATCCTCAATTTGTTAGGGATTGGAAAAGGTAAGTCACAGTGGAACATGAAGATGTGATAAAGATGCTTAAAATTTCCTGTTGTCTGGAAGCTATTATGAATACATGAATTTGGCAGTTTTGCCATAAAATTACATTATCTCCTAAATAAATAACACAGAGGTTTAGCCAGACATAAAACTCTCCAAAAAAAAAGTTGGAAATACTCTTGACTAGGAGAGTGGAGTAAGCAATCTACTGTCTGTCCTCCAGCATGTGGCAGAAGGAGCAGTTAGGAATCAAACTGTATCTTTACTGTGAAAATGAGAAACTAATGCAGATTGAAAAGCAGATTTACTAAGAATAGTGGTGCTTTTAGAGCCATTCATTTTCCCTTCTTGGAACAGAGGTACTGTGGGGGACTGTGCCAGGGAAGCACAGTGTTGCGTGGTGAAGAACCTCCAGCTGCTTCTACCCTCTGATGTGGTGTGTGCATAGTATGGCTGAGCCTTATGGAGCACCCTCACAACATAAAAACCCTGCCAAGATTTGTGCAGGAGGCATCAGACACTGAGATGTAGAAGGAAGAAGTGGAATGGCCAAGAGAATGTTCACTGTAGAGAAGTAACTGTAGGGGTGGTCCATGCTTGGCAAATCATTCCATTTTCACAGGCAGCTACATTGTGCCTACAGCTGCCATCACCTTGGACAACTGCGAGCTGTGCCTCTTTTCTCACATGTGCAATGAGGATATATTTTCTTGCTTATTTAGTAGAAGCAGGAGACATTCTTCTACCACTTCACTTGAAGCCTGGCAGAGATAATAAAACTGCATTTCTGAATTGGCCATTATACATCTGGATGTCACATTGGGGTTTTTTACTATTCAGTAGTAGAAGAAACGTTTTTTATTAATGCAATACAAATCAGGACAGGAATGGAAAGTCAAAAAAAACCAACAGTACTGATCTAAGCTGCAAGGTACTTTCCTTCTGAGGCAGCTCTCATGTTTGTGGGATGATTGACAAAGCTAGTACACTAGACATTTAAGGTTATCAAATGGACAAGGGCTCCAAGATGTAATGAGTGCTTTGAGAAAATGACACGGAAAGCACAGCACACAGAAAGATTATTTGCACATTATATTTTGCMTAAAATGGAGAAGACAGTCATAAATACAGGTTAGTATCTCAGAAGGTGGGCTACAGGGTGAAGAGCTGTGGCATAACTCTGCTTATGTACAGATGGCCTTCAGGAAGCAACCTTGAAGTGTAAGAAAGGTGGCAGTGGCTGAAGKCATCTGTCTTGGGTTGTCACTTGTTTTGAGCTGAACCCTGCTTTTCAGGGTTCTAGCAGTCAATGTAACAAGCGATTTGTCTTCAAATTATGTATGGATAAAGTTACAAGTATGCACCATGGGAAAGGGATTAAAACTTATTATGAGTGGTCCAGAAAGTGCATTGACAAAAAACAAAAAAAACCCAATTCAGTAAAATGTCTTGTCCTTGATTCTTTGCAGTCAATCTTTCCATAATAAATTAGCAACTGTTAGAGTGGATGGGTGGTGTAAACCAGTGATCTAACTGAAGCAAATAAAAAGATGCTAAGAACAGCTGCAGGTTTGGGTACTAAAGGGCATAATAGAAAAAATGTCCCGCAGATTAAGTACKGGTGGACAGTAATCTACTGAAATGAGCTATGATGGCTGTGCCCTTCGCGTATGCTTAACCCTGTCTCATAGGAAGGCAATGCCAGGAGTCATTTGATAGTTGGAATTGCTGTTCAGTCAGGTGTGGTTGGATTCTTTTCCAGTTTTCCTGCTACACCAGTTGTAATTAGATTTAGATTATGAAAKCCTTTAGATTTATGACACGCTATATGTGCAAAGGAGAAATCCTTTGAGGAGATACTCTACAAAAAAATGGTAARCATGCTGTGAAGAAAACTGAGCGCTCTATTTTGGGCAAAGGCTGTACTAAGAAATCTATGTCCAGTCAATATGATAGTGATGATGAGCTAATCACTGAAAAAGACACCATCAAGTGATACTTTTATGGTTTTAAAAACAAAGTTTAATTGTTAAAAGTTTAAATGTCAAAATGCATTAACTCTATAGTAAATGAAAAAAGTCACAAGTATTTGCTGATGATAATTCTTTTAGGATTCTTTCATGAATGCTTGTTAYTGACCTCTGATCTCTGAGAAAAACTTCCATAATATATTTGTTTTGGAAATAAATATAAAAGCATAAAAAAAGTGGAAAATCCTTGTAATCAGAAGTCTAAACGTAGTAGGTGAAACAGTAAWGCTACTAACCTTTCATCTCCTCTGTCTGCTTGTATAGTTTTGGCTGAGACTGGCATATATTATAGTATTAAGCCACTTTTGTTTACARCATTAAGTTAAATTCCAAGCTAAATTATTTTTATGAGGTCTGTGATGAAAATACTTCCAAGATACCGCTGAAGAGTGCAGGATTTACATGCATTACTAAAAGGGGAAATCCACCCATACAAACAGCCAGTTAGAATAAAATTAGCTACCATTAGCTATACATTAAGTTGTATTTAACTTAACAATTAATTCATGGGCATTGTTTGGAGGATAAGCTACCAATATCTGGATTCTATGAGTGCAAGAAAGTCTAACTAGTTTTGTTTGCAATTTCACAGAGTGAAAAATTGAGTTCTTGACAAAATCTTGATCTGCTCAACATTAATTATAACTCTTCAGAAATWTAAGCACTGGCAAAAAAATCAGTCTTTGCTGGTTAGCTCGTAAATATCTTAGGAAATGGACAGACAAATGAACTATTTAACAGTTCCCAGTATGCTGCTACAAAACTGTACAATTTGGAGACATTTTCATGCAACAATGCCAGAAGAGCCWATCAAAACTCCCTCACCATATAGTATCTTCCACAACATTTTGTTTACAGTTTTGATAACTTGAAGAGGTTTAAGCGTGTGGCCAGGCAGGAGGCTCCAGTAGCATATCGAATCTCTTTCAGTATGCCAGTCCATTCCTTCTTCTCATCATCATACCTGCATATAAAAAAAAAAAATCTTAGAAAATAGCTTCTTTACATTTGAGTTTGATGCTTCAGCACACACACATGAAAAGGATAGTCCACAAGCAAAGGCTTGTAGCAATCATGGTGCTGAAAGGTACCACGAAAGGCTGCTCTTGTCCTCCACTCCTGAACAGAAAGATGTTCTTGTTTTTCCTAACCCCTAAAAGCTTGTTGCTGACATGTGTCATGCTTTAAATACCCATATAAAAGCTTCCTCCTTAAGTATTCCTTCTGAATTTCTTCAGATTCTTGCAAATAAAATTGGGGGTATTTCCTTCCTACTGCCAACTAAGTTTACAGTTCTGAGTTTACAGTAGCAGCTAAGAGTGGAAGCAGAGATATGTCTCATCACTGCTGCTTTGATTAGCTGAAGAAATTGTAGCAGATAGAGACTTATGATTCTCTTGGAACAGTTACTCATTCACTATCAGCACATCAATATGTACATGCCTCCGTGTTTACATGCACCACAGTGTCACAAGAGAATGTTTTCACTGGCAAAGCTACGTCTGTCAAGAGATGGCAATTTACTCTTAAAGAACTGAAGATCATGACTTGGATTGGTCAAATAATAGTAGGTGGAAGTAGTCAAAAGATCCAAGTCTCGTGTTCATTTGTTACTTTCTGGCAAACTTTTTTATCTGTCAACAAGTATTTTACAACCTGTGGTATGGATAATTTTCAGAGTTAAATAGAAAAACAGTGTTAGCTTCTGGTGTCTACGAACCTCAATTTTAGATAAGGCTTTTGACCAGAAAAGAGTGACTAAAATGAAACTTACTTCCATATGTCAGTGACTTCACTAGGTGCAAATTCTTTAGATTCAAGTTGAATCATTGCAAAGCCTCCAATAGCATATAAAGCTCCGCTTAAAGTGACTAAACTGATGGAACTTCTCTCTTGGGGAAATTCAGGCATAATCTCCCATCTAAGGATGAAAAGAAAAAGTCAAGTTAAACACATGAGAAATATTGTAAACTGAATGCATTAAAATACTTCTCTGGGTGACATWAATTCAGATACCAAGGCCATGGTTTAGTAAAAAGAAAAAAATCTGAGATTTACCAGCAGTACGTTCCAGCGTCTCCATCGCCATAGGGACTTCTGCAAGTCTTAAGTGGCACAATTATACTGTTATGACATCTCTTCCCAGGGACTATTTCTTACAGATTCTCTGATTCATCAGTAAYGCACTTCATGAAGACCTACTGTTCCTCAGTTACTCTCATTTTTCCCTGTAGTTTCCAAAATGCATATTTATTTCAAGTGGCATTGGAATAATAATTTGGAGTGCATGCGGGGGCAGGAAAAATGTCCAGAGACGAGCTCTGTAAACTGCTGCTGTTGTTGTTGAAGATGTGACTGCAGACCAAGTGTCTCAGAGGGAGTATATGTACCTGAACAGCTTTGTGAGTCTTGCCTCAGAGCTCCTAAAAGCCTAGATGATAAAACACTTGCTTCAAATAGCATGAATAYTGCACTCACTTATTGGTGGTCAGATCAAAAGCTTCAACAGATGCAGTAAGGCCTTCCTCAGTGACACCACCTGCAATGACAATCTTGCCCTTATGGATGGCTGTTCCAAACATCGAGCGAGGCACTTTCATTGGAGCCAGGTCTCTCCAGTCTCCTTTCTTGGGATTGTACACAAATAGCCTATTAGTGCATTTCCTGGGGAGGAAATTGAAAACCAGTGATCATTTCTAATGAACTTTTGACCTGGTCCAAGTAGATCTAATTCAGGTAGATTGTGTAGGTTTATCTATCTCTCCTGGAGATCCTTTTTATATTTAATCTGAGTCCTTGCAATGTGTACAAAGCATTAATCACATCCATAGAACTAAATCAAATGTTAAATGTGGTTTACATTACCCAGAGAAGCAAGTTCACTGTACCTTTGAGGAAAAAGACAACATCCTTTCCCAGCAAATTGTATTCAGATGGATTTGTGRAGGAATATATGGCAAAGGTTATGTGAAAGAAAAATTATACTGGCGTTTTGGCTGATATGACAAACTTTTATCTCAACTACTCCCTACACAAACACTTAAAAATTACCACATGTTCAATGTTYCTAATGTTATACTCATTAAGGTATGACAGGTATCACAGGTCAGAAAATTGGAAAAACTGAGACAGTAATTCCCAGGCACCTTGATATTTGTGAGCATCCTTATAGCTGTGTAGTACTACTGTGTCTGCAGTGTAAGTAAAATTTACTTAGAAATAAGTATGGTTATTAAAATAACAGGTTGGATTAAAATTTATATGTAATTTACCTTAGCACAAAAAAAATACATCCTACATACCATAATGTGTTCCTCTCTGCCAGACTGTTAGTAACCTTAATCCAGAGATGCAGAAAAGGGAAACCCTCATTTCTGAGTGTAAGGATAATATCTATTAAGGACCAAGAAGATAATGTCATTAATTATCGCAGAAAGACTTGGAAACTCACTTATCATCAGTTTTTCCGCCAAGACAATATATCAATCCATTGTTTGAAATAGTAGCATGGCCATATACTTTGATGGGTAGTTTTTTGATTTCACCCCATTTCATTGCCCTGAAACAAGAAGATCACCATTAGGTTTTTTTCAACTAACAATGGGCCAACTGCATGTCCTCAGTGGGCATAATTAATTTTGAAACATACACAGGGTCATAGCACAATACTGAATCTAGTGACTCCTCAGTGCGAAGGTCCTTGCCTGCTATTACATAGATCTTGTTGTCTGACTCTCCCAGCCCGAAGAGGCACCTGGCTGACGGCAGTGGAGGAAGGGCAACCCACTCACCAGCAATGCTATCCAGCTGAAAGAGCATCAGAACAGGAAGGGTTAGGAAAGGCAAAGAGTAAAAATCCACACAATGAATATTGTTCCACAGAATTTATCTACTGGCACTCAGTGTCTCTCAACAGCAAATCTGCTTGCCTGAACAACCTGCCCGTCCCTCAGTGCAGCTAATGGATGATGYCTTCTACCCACTCATGCTCCACAGTGCTGAGATCTAGCAGAGTCAATGCTGTACAACTCTCTTTGTGTCTGCTCATCTTCACTGTTTCCTTGCCTCTTCATTAAGCTCTTCTTCCTTACATGAAGGTCCCTCACTCTCAGTTCCCTATCATGTTGGAAAGAACAAGTGGTTCCTCTTCCTGCCTGAGGGAGCAAACACTTCTGCAGTTCCACACCTGCATGTTCAGCTGGTTGTGCTCATCGCTACAGTGAGATGCCAGACATGCTCACATGGTTCTTACTGATAAGTAGACATCAAATGGCAAATGACACACATAYTCTGCAATCTCTAGAGCAACAGATGTATGTTTCATCACAAATACCCTCAAAGGTTCATGAGATCTCTGAAGACACAATGAATAAAAACTTCACTCTTAAGCAAAACAGGCAGTCACTGCAGCTCCCATGGCAATATTTCTACTGCAGTACTCTCATGGCTGTCTYAATTCACATCCCGTATGCTGAAAACACCTAAGCAGAAGTAGCAGCAGGAGGACAGAAGAAAAAATAATATTTTCCTAGATTTAGTGCTTGTTTTTTGTTTTGATCTGACAACTTGCAATTGAACCTGAATTATCTCTAACGTTCAAAAAGAATTATTCTCTCACAGCTATGGCACATAGATCTGCTTGACATTGGTACAGGAAGGAAGGGTAAGATAAGAGTTTATGTGAGCATAAAGGCATTTGATAGAAAGCAAGAAAGTCCAGTCAAAGTAAASTTCAGGGCTTAACTGGGTGACATTCTTCCAGAAGTACGTTCCACAGTCAAGCTTTCCATGCTAAATGCATCTCCCAAATTTGACAGACCACCCCTATTGGACAGAAAGTTTTATTGCAACAGTGGACATGGATTTGGACATGGATTTCCCCACTAGCTGGAGCTGGGTGGGGTAATGAGAAGATGTATCCCTTGGATACCACAGCTCACTTAGTGCATCAGTCTTCAAGATGACAAACTAYCCCTACAGTCAGTAGATAGGGCATCAACTTGTCATGAATTTTCAAGCCAGTGGCAGCCTTGTTTGCTCCTGGGTTGCAAGCTACCAAATGCAACACTTCACTGGTGGAGAAAGGAAGATCAGCAAGTGAAAATTGGTTTGGCACCTCATTAATATTTTACAGAGAACAACAGCCACATGGGTGATACAGACAAGTATTTTAACTATAGAGAAGAACAGCAGCAAGGCTAAAGATGACAAGTAAATGAACATGATTTCAGGAAGTGGATGTTGACATATGAAGAAAGATTCTGAAAACCTCATCAGTTTTTAGTATCTTGAGGTTTAGTTTCTCAGATGCTTTTTCAGTTCTGGACTAAATACACATTATGACATCAGCCTGCTGTTTCTATTGGAAGAATATTTCTGTAASAAGTTTTGCACTCCAGTGATTAGTGTTTTACATCTACATAAAGAAACAAGTGTTAATTCCTCCCCTACAAAGACTTGGCTCTCATTGATGTAACAAATGTCTGAAATCAAGTCTTTCATTATGTGAAATCAGTGAGCCATACTCCTATAAACAATATTTGCATGTTTTAATATCTGAAGGCTTTAAAATTTTATCACTGCTTATTACTGTGTTTTATTTCATATTGAAATAGGACTTACTTTTACTCTTTTAGGCCAGTSTGCCTTAAGAGAGGACACGGCCAGCAGCATATTGCATAATTCATCACAAAGTAGTTTAAATAGCATATTTTAGCATAGCTAAAAATACAACAGATTTAGTTTATGGTATAAGCATGCCTAATTGATTTTTTTCTGATTTTCCTGAAATATTGTAGAGTTATATTTAGCRTTAATTAGCCTTATATTACACAGATTTACAAAAATACAAAATTACTCTCAGTGGAAACAGGGTATTTTCACTACTGACATTGACAGTTTGCCAAGAAAAAAACCTTCTGCCTCTAAATTACATATTTATATGGCCCTTGGGCTTTCAAATGTAGATACAACAAGCAGGACTTCTGCAATTTTAGTGACAGAAATCACACTTAAAAATACACACATTACTGCTGTCCTGAAAGCATTTCAGATGAAAAAAAAAGAAAGACATAGCATTAGATATAAATCAGCTGAAGCACTCCAACTTTCATCGAAGTTATCAGAAACACATAAAAAGTATTTTACAAAAGTATTATTAGACTTAGACRTCTGTATCATGAAAAATCTGGCCCTTAATAAAAGCCAGTACCTAGATAGAATATATTAATCCTTTTAATATTTTCTGAGAACTCACCAGGGATTAATCTTGAAAAAGAAGATGCAAGTCCTCAGTTTCATTTCTCTCTGAGACAAAAATAGATACTTCTCTCCATCACCATACAAAGAGACTTGACAACCCACTCACAGAGACTCAGAACACTTTTCAGTAACCYTCATAAGTATTTTATACCAACAATAATAAAGCTTGTACCTGGAAGAAGTATGACTGGAAAGGCTGATCCTTGTTCTCCTCTTCTACATACAGTCCTCCAACAATATAGACCTGATTTTGTTTGGTGACTATACTGGAATGATTTCTGGGAATCTGTTCTGCCAGGGCTGCTAGGTAGCATTCATTTTCAAGAGGATCATAGGCTACTGCAGCAGTGTCATTAACCAGAAGAATCAGGTCTTTGACGAACATGCCATGCCTGGGAAGGTCATTTAGGTAGCCAGGCAGTAAATCTTCATCTCCTACATCACCATTCASCTCCCCTTTGGTTGACTTTTCTGTGCTTTTGCTAGAGTCAGGCAATTTTCCAGCAAAAGCATCCTTAATAATCTTTACTTTTTTCTGAAGGTCTGAGTTGCTTTTAATTATATCATCCTTCTCAACCTGTTCTTTGAAATATTTTTCTGGCATAAGACGAAAACGTATGCAGTCAAAAATCTCCCCCAGGCTCTTTACTCTGTTCTCCTTGTCTGTTCGGACCCATCTCATTACTGCTTCAAATACCAGTTCTTCCTTCTCTACGTTTAAACTGTCAGTTGAAATAACTGAGATAAGTTCATGCGGGGCAAGCTGCATGAAGTCCTCTTCTTTGCAGATCTGCACAAAATGATCTGAAACAAAATCACGGGCAGAAAATGCAAGTCTTGGGCAGTCAAGCAGAACACCTAATCGAAGGATGGCCAGGCAGTTACCAACAGCAAGCCTCTTCTGAAGATAGGAGACGCACACAGTGAATACAGAAGGGATCTGAAAGCGACTGGCCAAAGCAAAAATATCTTGCACATTAGAATCATTGAGATCAATACTTGCTGAATAAAGGTATTTGACAACCATATCCAGGATGTTTGGGTCAACATTATCTAGAACTACCTCCTTCTTTTTCTCTTCATTTTGCTCAGATAGGAAATACTCACGAAAATAAGGGCTACATGCCGACAGAATCAATCTGTGGCAAGGCAGGCTTCTGTCACCAGCTTTTAGAGAGCAATCTACAAACTTTTTCTCTTCAAGGAGTTCCTTCAGGCCATCTTGAAGGAGGGTGGATTGGTAAAGTCTGAGCTCTTCAGTGAGTTCCCTTTGGGAATCCATTTCGCAAACACTTGGGAAAGGGGAGGGAGCAGAAAGGTTTAGCTGTTGTCTGCCCAAAGGTTTGTCTGTAGAAAAGGCAGACCAATGTGCTATTTGCCCTGCTTGAAGCCTCTGCAACTTAATCTCACTAGCTAAATATAGGTACATACTCTTACAGGTCGGAATTTGGGATGGACGGTTTGGAAAAACAGAGTTGCTCTCGCAGCTGTCAAAGACTGAAAGAAGCAACTGTTGCTCTTAGTCACTATGGTCAAGTTTTGCCATCATTCTCCATACTGAATCAGTAAGATTACGTGCAATGTAATAAATTATTTGACGTGAGTAAGGACAGCAGAATCTGACCCTCAGTGAGACAGCTATGAGCAAAATTGCAGAGATACATGTTACTAAATATTCTGAAATAGAAATATTATTAATCAAGTTGTCAGTTGTAATTACTGTTCACTTTTTCAGAGTTGCTTAATACAGCTCGTTGCTGCAGTCATAAAGATACTAAAAAAATCCAGAACTTTGCATCGATTGCCTATGTTCKAAGATTATTTTTTTACGTAACCATATCACATATACAATTTCTTCAGATATTAAGACTTCCATATTTTTGGCTGCTTCTTAATATCCATTTGGTTATAAACCAAATGCTATTGTTAAGACATAAAATATATGTCATTTAAGTAAAGTCTTGCTTTCCAAAGTAATTCAAATGAAGTCTCCACCCATATGGCAAAATATTCTTTGAATGTAATGGAAACAGGATCAAAATACAGCTACTTCAATGTAAGATCTACAACATGAGATAATATTATCAAGTTTTATTGAAATAATGACCACTTTTCAATACAGGTACTTTTCCATTAAAATATATACCTTGGAAGATTTTCTACAAACACCAGTATTACATTCACACCACAGTTACTTTAACAGTCAGCTGCTGAAACAACAGCTGAGAGCAGAGCTCATTTGACTTTTTCCATTTATAGAAACCAGCACAGAGGTTTTATCTCAGTAGTAAACGTAACAGCTGTGTCTTCCTTTTAAACAATAAATGACTCATTTCTCTGTAACACATAACATCATAAAAGGTCTAATGACTCACACACAGAAGCTATTTGCATGTGCACTTTTTTCTAGATCATTGCTTAAAAAAGCGCTCTAGCAAAAACAAACAAGCAAACAACAACTGCATGAGGATATCTGGATTACTCTTAAATACTTGGAATGATATGTGCAGAACATTTAGCAAAATTATGAGACATGAAAACTATTATTTGAAACAGAATTGCTTTTTCTTAAAGCTGTCAATAACATAGCCAATATGCCTACATACAAAATGTTCTGTGTATTATGGTATTTCTGTGTTGAAAATCATTAACACAAGTTATAGAAATTTAATTCAAACATAATAATTATGGGAAAGTACATCACTCTGTATAAATACATGAATACTTGAAACTGAGCATCAAAGTGGATACCTCACACTGCCCTGTCTCAAACAGTGGTCTCCATGTGCAGAAAACAAGGCTTCCTTTTCTGCCATATTTCTGTGTAAAATAGCAAGAGGTGCCAATCAAAGGGCAAATCATAAACACAGGAGCCATGAAGTTGTAAAAAAATGGTGGCTACCTGCCATAGCTGTGTTGTCAGGGGACTGTCAGGAAACCAAACAATCCGAAAACACCAGGTTACACAAGTGTGTCAAATGGCAGTGCCATGCCCGTTGTGCAGAGGCACTGCCAGGTGCCACTGTCAGACAGGCAGAGGGAATTCGCAGGTCCTTGCAGCCGTGACCGAGGGCAGCCCGCAGGGGGCAGCGCTGCCTCCAGCAGCTGGGCCCCGGCCTGCCTGCCTCAGGGAGTGGCTGTTTTGTCACTGCTTAGAGAAGCAGCACAATAACTGCAAAACATTTAAGCATACAAGGATTTTGAATAATCTTTCTTTTATGACATAGCCTGAGGAYTTATTATATAATATTTGCCTGCTCTTTAGCTTTGGCTTGTTCTTTCTCTGCTACTCTGATATTTCTAAATTATCTTCTACAGCTCTCTGAAGTACAGCAAGAACTGAGAGTTTTTCCTGCTTAGGAAACAAACACGTGCCAATTTAAATCAGGTCATTACTTCCCAGAGTCCCTGCAGTGTGAATCCATCCTTTAGCTTCTCTATTGCAAGTCCCAGTTCTTCGGAAAAAACAGGCTCCCGATCATGTTGCTATTTTGAATCCATGAGATATGAGAGAAAATAAAGCAGAAGGCACTTTTAAATTTTGTTATTCCATTTTAACATGAATTTGACAGTATGAAAAAAATACCTCCTTACCTTATTTTCATCAGCAAAGTAAGCCTGCAAAGGAAAACAAAAAAGAACCTTGAAAAAAGATGTCTTAAAACCCGCATCTGCTAATAACTCCTTGGGGTCAAAACTGTRTTGGGTAGGTCTTCGCTAACAATCCAGTCTACATGGGTTTTACTTCCAAGTTAAAATAATTTACAAAAGAATTGTAACAAGAGTTTCTATTTTTGATGATAGATTAGATACCACTGGATTATGGTATTTTTCATTAAACACCAGTCTTTGAATTTTCTGTCATAACRAAGATTTTTTAAATGGYAACATTTTCTTACTACATTTGTTACACTAACGAAAACACTTCATAGGGAATAAAATGTTAATATGAAGACAAACTGACAGCATCCTGGTATTTTTTGCCTCATGTGCAGCAGCATTTACTATTCAACTTCAAAAACTAGTTTAAAATGAGGAGTATAAAAATTCAGTTAACTCATACKCAATCTAAGAAATGAACACAGTAACGGAACAACTCAACAAACGGAGATGTGGGAAAAAGATACCATCTTTCCCATTCTGTGTATGTGGAAATTAAGGTTCAAACTCTTCAGGATATCAGATCTCTGAAAATATCCATGGCTCTAGAAATCTCTGGACTAGCAGGTTCTAGATCTTATTTACYAAAAGGAGCCCCATTTTGCTTCAGCCGCCCCTATGGACTGGTGAGAGGCAGCAAACAAAGCACTTTCCTGCTCAGCTGGCTCTTGAGCTATACAAGACTCTACAGAAAAACATCAAGTATTGTGGAATATTGATGTGTGGCCACTCTTTGGGTCTGGGCAGCCTTTGTTTTCTATAGCAACCACCTTCTAACTATTTTCAGCTTCCAGTCTTTGAGAATATACAAAGCACAGGTGACAAAGGCACCAACAGAAGAAATAMATCTCMATTTAAGAAAACGGTGTATCYTCAAATATGCTRAAGACTGAATAAAAAATTGCAAAARTGAAGAGAAAAAAGGCAAAAACCTAGGAAAGAGAGAAAGGAAGTAAAAAGAGCTTATCTGTATTGGTGAAAGACCACCAAGATTAAAAGGAGAGGAAATGACTGTGCTGCTAGCCTTGCTAATTTACCAAATTTCAGAGATTGCTAAGAAAACATCTCAATTGTCAATGCATCAAGGCTAACATCTACATCAAGGTAGATGTGCCATCTACCCCTGCAGTTAATCATGAAGCCAGGTGTTACTGGGTTGCACACTAAATTTGGCAATTCATTGAAAAGAGAGTCAACAAGCAACCTAATGCATAAAAATTCCTGAAATACWGGGAGACGTAGTAATACAATATTATTGCTGCCTTTCTAAAAAACTTTCGAGTTTGAATCTTAGATGAATGTTGAGCATATAGATATTACTATGTATTCATCTGCTCCAAGAGTAGGAAGACTTGTTTAATACAATCAATATCTGATTATATTACACTGCTGATCTGTAAGCCATTCCTGATTTTAATGTGTTGAGAAACTACATTAWAACTACTCCTTTAAATATCTACTACTATTTATTTTGAGTAATAGTTCTTAACTYAAAAATTCATACACAGAATAAATTCCTGAAATAATCAGGATGTTTAATAAAAGRCATGTAGATGTGTTTYAAATATAGAAAGTACAGTTGCAGCTTAGCTTTAGTAGAGGATTACAGCTATACATTGCTTAAATCGGAATAACCAAAAAAGAATTATTTTATTTTTCTGTTCTTTGTGGTGCCACTTACCACAAAAGCATCTGTATGTTCATCAGATTCTATTTCCACATCATCTGGAGCTTGCTCCACTGTTAGGTCTTCAAGAGGTTGAGGCTGCAAATTAAAAYATTGTAGTAAGTAAATTCATGTAACTAGTATGTTTAATATATTTTTATTATTGTTAACACAGTATTGTATCTAATTTAAAATAACTAAACTGAGTACCTTTTCTTCCATTTCATAATCCACTCCAAATATAGGGTTAGCTGAATAAACTTTGTGAAGTGAATGAATCTCTTTCACTGCCTCCTGTAGTTTCTCTACAGGGTCTATTTTAAAACCAAGTACATATCCTCCACTCTGTGTAACAGAGAAAAAACAACATCTGTTTATTAGTCTTGCTTATTATTTAAACATTTTTTTCTCCTCAACAGTGATTTTCAGTTTAATGATAGCAATTTTCAGCATGCTGAGAAAATGTGATCTTTGATATTATCTTTTTTCATTCAGTTGAATAATGAGTGAAATAAAAACAGTAACAATGTTTTAACAGCTAGCCCATTATATAAGAGGGGAACAAACTCCTTATGCAAAAAAAAAAACCACAAGCAAACAAGGGTGGGAAAAATTCAAAAGTTATATTAATTATTTATTTCCCAGCTACTCAGCAAGTGTTTAGTCTATTAGGTCTTGATGCTGTTATTAAAGAAGCTTTCAGATACACAGAAATAAAGAAAAAGATTCCAAAGAGTGGTCTTATTAAGTACAGAATTAATTRGATCCCAAAGATAATCTGTTAGAAGACACTGTATTCAACAGTTATAAGATAGTCATGCTGGCCTATTGYTGCTTTGTTTAGAGAAACCATAATTCACAATAGCCATATTGACCTTAACATACAYTTTAAGCAGTGCAAAGAGAACTTTTTTAATGTTTTCAAAAGGCGCCMCAGAAGGAAAGCTCTATGTACCTTAAAAGTAGTCCCATAACATTTCAGAATTAGAGAAATATTGTATATAAAAATGGAATCAATAAAAAAGGCTATTAAAGCTTCTTACCTGCTGAGAACTCTCTATCACAAGTGCCAAGCCAAATTTTGAGTCTCTCATTTTTATTGAACGCTAATGATAAAGAGGTATAAAACAGTGAAAAATTYTGTTAATTACTGGATAAAAATCTCTGTTTCAGTTTGGTTTTTTACACTGTAATAATTACAATTACTGGCTCTGGAAGCTTGGCTACTAGCATTCCCTCCCATTTACCATTACAATTCTGAACCCCTGGAGCCTCAGGAATAAGTGTTTTATTAGAAGTGGTAATAGTAAATTTTTGAATATCAGGTCCACAGATAATTATTCCAAGTATACGTAGGTGGCATGAAGCATAACAGTTAATACTAAAAAAATCTGAAATGCAAGCCATTTTCAACATCTGTACCAGCCCATGAAATCCYCCAACTAATCTGACAGAAAAGAAAATACACCCTGTGGCTGGCAAGARTAAATTCGTCCCTGAATGTGAGACATGAAATATAATTTTGGTGAGCTGGAAGTTTTAACTAAAGACTTGAACTGTTCTGAATGCTGTTTCATTTTGAAAACAGTTATTGTAAGATACTTACGATTTGTAGATATGGTATGCTGACATTAAAGCTGTCGTTCATATTTGCATGCCAAACTATTCTCACATTAGTAATAAARAATGTTCCCAAATTTCCCTATTAAAGATTGAAGAAATGGTGTGTTAGAACTGCTTTTAAGTACAGAGCTTTTGTCCCCAAACATGATGATTTCTTTAAATACAGGCAAGGTACAGCTTCATATTTAATTCACTAAAAGCTTGATTCTACCCTACCAAACCCAGTCAAAATTCTATGATTGCAAGGAAGCAAAATCCAATCTTCTTAGGCTGCAGAACCTCCGCCATGAAAACTGGTGGGAGTACCTAATCCTGCAGCAAAGCTGGATCAAATCACAGCCCAGACAACCTCATGGGAATACATAAGGCATCTGAAAGTATTATTAACTGAACAGATCTGCAATGGGCATGAAGTGTAAGTATAAWGGCATGTGGGTTAAACTTAGGTAATTGAGGAGATGTGTGCCAAGGGAATGTAGAGGAAAGAACTTTTTAGCTTGTCARGGTGGATCATGTTTCTATTCTGGACTAAAATTGCAGACAGAATATCAGCTCCTGTTTTGTTTCACTGCTCCAGGAAATGCTTGCAACTAATGCCCTGTAAAATAAATGYTTTCTATTTTTATCTTAAAGTCTTTAGTTTTTCTTATTTTAAGACACAGATTCCTATTCCAGTATTTTTGATTTACAGTAATCAAAAGACTATAATCTTAATACTGTTTAGTCAAAGCTGCATGTAAACATACAAATATTCAGCAGAGTAYCTCAGAAACATGAATTTCTTTCAGGATTATACAGAGCTTTAGATTCATAAATACACCTTTTMAACAGAAACTGTGTATCTATTTCCTTGCATGTTAGCAAAGTCATGTAGACCTTCAGGCAGCCAAAAGGAGATTTTGTTGTGGTGAGTAGCAAATGTATGGGATCAGTTTCTCTGCATGCATCAGCTGATAAAAAACATTAAAGATAATTCCTCTGAGGTTACAAAACAGTAGTAGTACAACTGCTAGACGAAAGCTGAAGCATTTTAACTTTTTGTAGTCTATGTAATCTGACTTCACTATACCTGGTCACTTGATAAATTCCAAACTCCATTGACTTTATCATATATTTGTTCTTGTGGTAACAATCTCAGTTGCTTGTTTTGAATCAATGCACTTCTCAGCTTCAGATCACGATACATTTTAGAAGTTTCATAAGCCCTACAAAAATAAAACACATATTACAGTTCAGTTTTTCTATTGTCATTACTATTTTAGTACAGATAGGAAATTTATATTTTCAGCTTTCTTTTATCACCATGCTGCACAAAAGTCAGAATACGAGTAAAACGTTTTTTACATAATCCATTATATTCCAGCTTTCCTTAATGTTTTCTGAATGTCAAATACGGACAGTCATACACTGTGTCTATCAGTAGTTGTAACCTCCCATATTTGAGTCATTGTTCAAACACTACTTTAAGTACACTACCTGTGCACGGCAATAACTGAAGTGAAGAGTCTGGGACTCCCAGGAACAACATTGGTAAATATGAACTCAAACCTGGTATTGTTACATTTAGTCAATATATATAGAGCTTCTGTCTGCCCTCGTAATTTCTGCAAGGAAAAAATGAAATTTTACATTCTGTCTGTATAGTAGCTTGATTGTACAAATAATAAATGATCTTCAGATATTGTTTAAGTTATTGTTCTAAACAGTGTATATGGAGGCATGATCCTGATTATACCACTGATCTACTGCTGTCTTCAACTGAAGTAATTTTTCTTTCTGATAAACTAGCAGTGTCATCAATAGTAAAACTCATGAAGCCTGCCTGCTATACATTTGCAATATCATGACTGAAACAGTGTTTTTGGTTTGTTATCATGTGGTTGTGCAGGAAATCTACATAAATTCTCTGATAGTTCTTTGCAGAAAGTYAAACAAATAACTTGACAGTTGCATGTAATTCTATTCAGGTTACGTATTTGAGAGCTCTCAACTTGTAAAACTAAACTTTTATTACTGTTCTATTACTGTCCTTGCAAGTAAACTTTGGGATTATTGTTGACATAGTGCAATAAGTATAAATAACTAATTACAGYTTCTTTTACTATTTTAAAAGTAGATTTTTGAACTTACTGAGTTGGCAGTTCTTGTAGTTATATTTATAACACAGTTGTAACCGACAGCTTAAAAGTCAGGGGAGAAAAAAACATTGTTTTGAGAACAAGAAAAATAACAGTCAAAATTACAAGTACATTACTGAATTTTGTAGTACAGCTTTGGACACTGYATGTGAAAATTGCACCTTGTGATTAATGGCCGGGGGCCTCATCACAACACTGAAGACTAATTTAAGATGGACAGGATCTTGGGAGGTTGTTCAGTCAAGAGCTGTTCTCAAAGCAGGACCAATTCTGTCTGGCCGCTCAGGGTTTCGCCCAATCCATAAATATTTCCACAGAAGGAGATTCCACATTGAGCACTGGAAGTAATTTGGGTACAGAGTAACTGTGTCCTGCCCCTGTTTCAGCACATTAAATAAAATATGAGCAGACCGCTAGCTACTCATACATTTAAAGTGAGAAACTTATTCAGAGTTTACAACACTAAAACTGGAAAGGCAGGCACTTGTGGGGAACTAATAGCAAAATGCAGAATGTGAATAAACAGGTGGCAACAAGAGGTACAAGTAAAGCAATGTATGAAGACCCTCAAACTTTTGTTTCTTTCTAAAAAAACAAATGAATACCATATCAGCYAAATGAAAAATATGCCCAAAGAACTCTTCAACTTATTTTCTGAGAAATGAAAATTGAMTATTGAATATTACTGTTTTGCTACAAATTATCATCTTAGTTCCTGTATTATAAATAGATTCATTAGTAAGCTTATTTCAGACTTTACAGAACAACACAGCTATACTTTACTATTCTGTACTGAAATCAATACTTTGTGAAAGAATRGCATGCTACCACAAAGGAAACAAAAGGTAATACTTACAGAGATTGACTCTGGGCAATGACAGTGAGCGCCAAATGATCCGCAAATTTGTCACAAGCAGTCTACCTGGAGATAAAGTGTAGATATTTTTAATCTCAATAAATTAAATTAAATTAAATGTTCTGCTCTGTTATAAGTATTTACCTCTAGTTTTGAAACACCAGGATATTCCTTCCCCTTGACAAGAAAAAGAAGAAAAGCACAGGACATCCCACCAGAAAAATCACTAAACCACTACACACAWTTTTTTCTTAAATGCTAGGAGAGAAAATCTAACAAGGAACAAATGAAACAGCACTTCTCAAAACCAAACCAAGAAGACTTATTGATTTCAATCCAGATGCTTAKAGTAAAAATGCAGACACAACCAGGGCAGAACTGCTCTGGGCAGGAGAAGGGGAAGGCAGTGAGTTAACTACCACAGCTGTCTYCATGAATAACCTCACCCCTGTCATATGCAAATTTATTCCATTCTGTACCCTGTAGAGCAGCACATYCAATCTCCTGAAGGGTCATCTCAGYATGCAGGCAGCTTGAGCTCCTGCCTACTACATATTACTGATTCAGTTAAAAACAGGGTGGRAAAAGTTAAGCATTGAAGAGGATTACAGCAGAAGATCATCACACTGTTTATAAATTGATTATTCTTACAAGGCTTTCGATTCTAAAAAAATCCTGAGACAAGACTATCACCTTCCTCTAACTTTAATCTGAAAACACTCTGAGGCAGATCTTTGAAATAAGCAGGATCTCTTCTGTGCAACTGAACACTGGTACTGAGTTCAATGGAAACCTGTCAGGGCTTTCATAAACCTACACAGGTTAAATAACAGGAAGTTTAAAATTTCCTGAGGATGCAGTTACCTCTGTCTCCATTGTTTCCTTTTGTATCTTCAACAGACTCTAAGCAGTCTATAAGGACCTCTCCAGGTCTCATTTTCATTTGTCTAAAAAACAGGGAAAAATAATTAGATTTCCAAAAATAAGGCCATTTGTTTCCCTACTTCACTCTCAGCTGTTACCTGCGTGCWATGAAAAATCCACATATGCACACATATACACGAATCAACTTTACATACCTGAAATTATCACTACATCTCTCAGATTAAAAATATGACTATCTTTATTATTAAATTGTAACAGCAAATAAATACATAATGATGTAGTGAGTGTGACAAAGAAAATTATACCCCAAAGTAAGGAGAAAGTGTGTGGAAATAGGACAAAAAAGCAAAAAAAAACCACTTGCATTCGCGCAATTTTCAGAGATAAGAGTTTATCGCCTCTTGATGTACTTTCAGGTCATAAGGAGTGGAGCTAGGCTCAGGAAAGAAGAGATGCCACCAAAAATTCAGATGTGTGAGGACAATCTGCTATATTTTCCACACAGTGTGGTTTGGTTTTTTGGTGAGGTTTTCTATTTATTTGTTTAAATTGTTATTTTGCTTTATTTAACTGATCTAACCTCCTAATTACATAACTATAAATGCAGTGATTTTTTGCTACATTTTAATCGTATTGTGAAAAGCAGCCAAAATTCTTCATGCATGGCATGACAAAAACAAAATGTATTACTAGGACACGAATTTCGTGAAAGACTGCAGAGCCGCGTTCCGTGAGGAGGATGCCACCTCCACGGCAGGGACACCACGTCCTCGTAACCATGAGTGCCACCGTCCCCTCAGACACACGCCTTCAGTTTGGTTCCACTTCTCCGTGCCAGAAAAGCTCATCTGGTGAACGTATACACCCTACCGTCGATCCTCCAGTGCCCAACCTTGTTTTATTTTTATAGTCTGGAAACGGTGACTGTTCCCACCCAACAAGCTCGGCCCGCCCCGCTCTGCCAGGTGAGCAAGCCCTTCCCCGGCCGCCACACCGGGGAGGAGCTCCCGGCACACACGGCGATGCGCCCGSCATGCACCGCTCCGGGAATGGCGGTCGCCTTCAACCTCCAGGGACGGCGCTCATCCAGCCCGGGGGCGCCGAGCGGGCCCGAGAGTGCCGCTGTGAGGGCAGGGTCGGGTCGGGACACGGGCACTCACTGCGCGGAGATGTCGAAACGGACATCCCTGTCCTCCCAGAGCACGTCCAGTTCCCCGCTCATGGCCGCCACCCGCCCMGATGAGTCCGCGCGCCGCCCTGGCAACGGGGTGTGGGCGGGGCGGGTGGAGTCTCGCGCACCCACGGCGGTCGGGATTGGCTGCGGCGCTGCACGTGGGGGGCGCGTGTGCTCTTCCCGCCCCCGCTGGCTCCGCCCCCGGCTCGGTTGAGGCGCTAAAACCCAAAACTTGAGGAGCCCTACCGTTCTCGGTAATTCGGCCTTGAGTCCTGGGGATTTGGGGGGGTGGAKGCTTGGTGGTTTGGGTTTATTTTAAAATAGATGGGATATGTAATTTTAAACTTGAAATTACTTGAAAACTGTATCCTAATGTTAATTGCAGTGTCCTACCACTTCCAAATTAAAAAAAAAATACTCTTGATTATGAATCATAGGAAGAAACTTGTCCTTTGACAGTTCTTTCCCTGAAGCTTGTCCCTGGGTTGTCGTGGACCCCGTTGCACCCATCTGGAAGTTGATACAAAGTGGATGAAATCAGAGAACAGCAAGCGGGAAGTGCCTTGTCCTCTCTCGGGCMGTGTCAGGAGAGGAACGGAGGGTTCGATTCTCCTCTCCATCCCACCAGGGCTGCAGAGTGTATGATTGAGTGTCTGTATAGTATTTAGTTGCTGACTGGGACTAAACAATGACAACTGCCTGAAAAAAGAAATCACATCCATGTGGGAGGTGGGGTATTAATCAAGTAAATGTCTTCTTAGCTTTTTAAGTTTTTAATAGTTTCAGTATCTTAAGTGTTTCAGATTATGTGTAATTAAATAGAAACAAGAATACAAAACCCAGCTTTGTTTTTAAGTGATTTAAAACAACAGCTGAAATAAACACGAGCTACTCACAGGTTCTCCAGATAAACCAGGGTCACCTACATCACCTTTTTCTCCTTCTTTCCCCTTGTCGCCTCTAGCTCCTCCATCTCCCTTTAAAACCATGTTGGTAAGCAGACAGTAAGTCTGTTTTTATTACACTTTTCAAATTTCTCTCTAGTAGCTTTTGTTGAATGCACATTAAACTTCCATCATGAGTGACAAATCTTTGTTAGAGGTCATTTAAATAAATTGGTATTTTGTGAATTAATAACTTGTAGAATTGGGAAAGTATTTTTATGGGAAAAAATACCTGAAGCAGTTTGAACAATGAAGCATCTCAAACAATTGTATGCAGACTGAGGGGTTTCATGGGATATTGCATAATGGAAATTATTATATGTGTCTTAGAAAAATAAGATAACACTCTAACCTTGCATGAATGKTAGAATTGGATCTTTTGACCTGTTTTTAAACTGTTTGTAATGTGCATCAGCCTGTGAGCTTAGAGCAGTAATCGTGTTTGTAAGCCAGCTCTCAGCCTTTAATGATCCTGACCAGCCTCAGCTGATGTCCCCACCCATCCCCTGGCACCTTATTTCAACTCAGCCTCAGGGCATCAGTTTTGTCCACAGTAGAGCAATAGGATGTTGCTGACTGGCTCTCCCAGAGCCCTGTCTGGGTGTGTTGATATCCCATCCTGTTGTGTCCTGTGTTGGTGCTGGGTGCCCTGGACTAGGGCTGCTCCCAGCCTGCCCGTCTCCCTTGCTGTGGCCGATGGCGTGAGAGGCTCAGCTTGGCTGTCTCATTTGGGACTCCCTGTTCCCACTGCCCTGGGGATGCAGCTGGTCAATGCTGCTCCTGAGAGAATTGGTGCCATTATTTACTGCTTGATGTCAGCACTGGTAGGTATCTGAATGTCAGAAGGTATCTATAGCTCTTCAAAAACCCCTTGGTGAGCCCTGAGTGAAACATCAGCCCTATTGCACAGCATTTGCTTGTGGTTAAATGCTGTACTAGTGGAGCCTCGGATAGGTCTTCATACTCAGAAACTAGTAAAACTCTACCTCATTCATACATTTAAAAAATGTATGTGTWAGCGTTTGTTTAAATGCTGASAGTTGAGGTTGTTCAGCCTGGTGAAAAGCAGGCTCAAGGGAGACCTCATGGTTGTCTTTCAGTCCTTGAAGAGGGCCTGTGAGAAAGATGGGCACAGACTTGTTGGAATGTTGGAATAGGACAAGGAGTAATGGTTTTAAACCAAAARAGAGTAGATTAGATATTGGATGTTCTTTACAGTGAGGATGGTAAAACAYTGGAACAGGTTTTTCMGAGAGATGGTTGATGTATCATCGCTGGAAACATCCAAGGTCAGGTTGGCACCTGATCTAGTTGAGGATGTCCCKTTACATTGCAGAGAGGTTGGACTAGGTGACTTTTAAAGGTCCCTTCCAAAGCAAATTATTCTGTGATTCGTAAATGAAAACGTGTRGAATGTAAACAACATCAAGTTCCTACTGTGGGATCGTGGGATCAAGTTAGGTGGAATCCTGTCTATTCATTTTTATGCTCCTCAAACAGCTTTTTTCCTTTTGGAGTGCCTGTAGCACAGTCCATAGATATGTTTTTATGTGTAGKCACACATTAGCTGCAGGAGTCTGTAGTATGGCTTGGTGAGTTAAGAGCTTAAAGAAGTGCAATTACTATTGAATGTCATTGCACAGATAAAACTGACAGCAGTAGGCAGTCATTATTTTTATTCTTAAGTACTTGGAGCACCACGCCAGCTGAAGTTTGCTTTTTAGCCTTGAAAAACGTCTTAAGCCTAGTGCTAGATTTTGTATCTGACTGTTGAGTAGAGGCATTAGCGAAGGTGGTAAGAAGGCCCTTTGAGATGCGTGGGGATAAAATGAAGCTTGGTGGAATGTGAAGGGAGGCAGAYCTCCCAGGCGAAGCGAGCGGGCTCGGCCTGTCGCTGCGCCCTGAGGGGAAGCGCGGCCATTGACGGCCTCCCCTCGACGGCTCCGTGCTGCCAGGGACAGCGCCTGTAGCTGCTGCCTCAGCCAGAGGGAAATAGGCAAACGACGCACATTTTAAAAAGCGACATATGATTGCCTGCTGCCACTGAGATGGTGCGTAGAGCTGAAACTGCTGCAGCACCTCTGTGTACAAACAACCGGCTCGTCTWCCGGGGGCAGCCAGCCTGGCCTTAGCGTCAGCTGCTATAAAGGTGCTCGGACGGCTGAAGCCTTTGTARCCTGAGAGGAATTTTTTCCCAGGAGCGGAGACAATAAATAGGGTGAGGGGTAAAATGGCTAGTGGCTTTCTTAAGTACGTGGTTCCTACTGCAGAGTTGACTTAGAAAGTTGCTTAAGCATCTGATACAGCCACACTGTGCAGGAGTGAGGGAATAGAGTCTGCAGTGTGAATCTGAGGGAAGGAGGCTGTGTTTTTAAATGCTGAAGTACTCACAAAAGTGATGTAACACATTCAGTGCAGTATAACGTATTTTTGTAGGGCAGACAAGTATTGGTTCCTTTAGGAACCATGCATGGACAAAATCATAACAGCTGATGTCTTTGGGGTAGAATAATGTCAAGTTTTCTRTTCTGCAGTATCTCACAAACGTGTGTGTGAATTACCTGTCTCTCAGATTCAATGATACTCCCCCAATAAAAATAGACTTGTATGTGATATTATTGATGTTTTTGAAATAAACTAAGCAAGAGACATAGAAAGTGAACATGTTTTTAAAATATATGGTGGTGATTTTATGTGTTGTCTATTTCCACAAAAAAAAWTACTTTCCTTGGTGTTAGATTGAAATTCAGTGGCTGGAAGTGTGTATTAATACTGCAGCTTCTAAATTATCACCGATGCTTGAATCTAATACRATACTTACAGTTTGTAATCCTCGTAAAAAGGATTATGTAGAAAAAAGGAAAATAGATGTCCATTTATGAAGTAGTTAACCTACCAAAAGCTTTAATATCAAGGTATCTTTCTACTCTGCTTCTGGTACTAACATCTATTAACTGTAATGATTAGAGAGGTGGGACTAGATTCTCTAAATATTTTAAAGCTTGACAGGATTCTCARCTTGCTGAATGCTCGTGTGTAATGATACAAAACATCTCATTTGTTAGAGGCTCATAAGAAAACAAGTAATTGTATATATAACATGTGTTTTCAGCTGCTTTATTTTTGTCTAATGTGTGTTATTGAACAACTGAATTTTTTCAAATGTTTTTCAGAAGGGTCCTAAAGAGATCTGGATTCGAATTTCAGTGTGGAATCTCGGTTCTTATAAAATCAGGTTGGTGTACAGAAAGAAAAAGAAAAAAAAAAATCAGTTACAAGATAAGTCCACGGGGTGTCAGCCTTGACTCAAGTATGAAGGTTGCGTGGTCATTGCTGASTGTAGAGGTTTGCCGAGAGAGGACTGATACAGAGCAAGGCTGTTACTGTCAGTACCAAGGCTAACAACTTTTATTAAAACTTCAGGAGTAACAGTGTAGGTGTAACAGTGCTATCACTATAGCCACTTTGGTTTAAAAAGGGACCAAAACATGTAATATGGTGAGTGTTTTTGTGGTTTCTCTTTTGAATCTGTTTTGTCATTGTGTATTACTTATGGATCAAAAATATCAGGATGGGAATAGCTGATTTATCCTCCTACCTGGCCTGTAATGGAGTGTGGGCTAACACTCAAGGTGTCCTTGAAGTGGAGGAAAATGGGRACATGGAAAAGATCTTGTCTGAATAGCATTGCCTATTGAAATGACTGAGGGAGAGAGTTTGTTAGGTAACCCAGTTTGCTTACTATATTGCTGCCATTTGCAGACATTTTCCCTTTCATGTAACAACTTAGACCTTTTTAGAGTTATTGTCATGTGACAGACCTTCAGCTTTCTTTTCTGAAAACCTCTTGAAAATCTTCAGTTTTTCTGCACTGTGGAAAATAAAGTGGATTTTTGAACAATAGCATTTCTACACTCTCCTCACAAAGGTATTTTGAAGTGAGCTTTGAATACTGCATACACAGTAAATGTCTAAGGCTATATTGCATTTCCTTATGTTAACCATATCTTCACCTGATGGACAGGGAAATTTTACTTAGGGAGAGCATCAAATAGTAGTGAATTAGTTTTGCTGCACTCTGTGACTGTTAATGATTCAGCTGAAATGAAAATGCTGATTCAAAATATTCTTTAATGTTTTCGTGGTTAAAAAT